TAACAGATACTATTTTGAACTGTCACTTTTGACTTCAATATCAAAATTTATCCATTTTCGATTTTTCAAAAATACGAGTGCCCGAGATGATGAAAAGCTTTTGAGCCCATATGATGATTAGACACTTTTGAGGTCATATTTTTCCTTTTGCTACACGACCACTCCACCACAACGACCTCCAAATGGTTCATGCTTTTATGCAGTTTTGCCTGAGATATGAAATTTTTAGTGGGTTATGTCCATGATGACCCCCATTTTCAAAAGACAATTATAGTTTCGAATTTTGACCTGAAACTTTGCCCAAAGCGAAGTCTCACTCAGACTAGCTTCTGTGCAAAATTTTAGAACTTTTGGATCTAGTATTTTTCAGATATGCATTTTCCAAATTTTGCAAAAGTAACATGGACAAACGCCTAAATTTTGAAAAATTCATATCTCAGAAAAACTACATCGAAAACTTCTGAAATTTTATACCGAAGCTAGTCTGAGTGAGCCCTCGATTTGGTCAACGTTTCAGATCGGAATAAGTATCTCGGGAAATTTCCTTCGAAAATGTTAGTTTAGAAATCGAAAGTGGGTACACTTGGATATTGAAGTCAAAAGTGACAGTTCAAAATAGTATCTGTTAACGGTTTTGTTATTAAAATAAAACTTAAAAGAATATGATATCATGTTATAAAAAAACCGATTAAATCGCTGAAATTGTATAAGAGATATTTACAAAAACTTTTGTTGGGGACTTTTGGGACACCCAGTAGGTAAATATAACACATAGAAATAAGGGTTAGGGATAGTTTTAAGGGTACCCCCCTCTTCTTTGACACTTGCTGGTTCTCGAAGACGGTACAACCGATCAAGCTGGAATTTTTAGCACAGATAGAGCACTAAAAATAAAGAGATACGTGTTCGAGGACAAAAATTTAAAATAAGTTTTTGTGGGGTTTTCAAGAAAACTCTGGTTTTCCAGAGGTCCGCATCCTGACACATTACGACCCCCCTGAAAGTTTGTCCGATTGGGCTGAAATTTTGTTTATAGATGCCTGACACTATTCCTCAGAGGTAAATTTACGGATTTTTAAAAATCTCACTTTCTTTTTTTTTTTATAAGAGAAATACGCCAAGATCCGAGTTTGTGCTTCGGATCTTGGCTTTCGCGACCCTGTAACTCCGAGTAGGAACATCAAAAATAAAAACGCTTGATTTTACCTCTGGAGAATACTTCAAAGTATTAGTGGTAAAATTTTCAGCTCGATCGAACAAGCTAAAAAGGCGGTCGTAAGCAGTCAAGATGTAGAAAATCACTGTTTTACAAAATGCTAAATAAAAGAAAAAAATTTACATACGATTACTATGAAAAAAAAAATTTTTTGATCTAATAACTACGTAAAAGTAAAACGTTTAGAGTCGAATAATGTCTCTAGTTGCATGTGGCGCTTCAGGCTATCGTGTCTTAGGCTCAGCTCGAAATCGAGTTTTTGGTTACAAATGAGGGGGGGGGGTACCCTTAAGGGTTAAGGATAGGAATTAGGATTAAGGATAGGTTTAAGGGTTAAAGATAGAAATAATGGTTAAGGATAGGTTTAAGGGTTAAGGATAGGAATTATGATTAAGGATAGAAATAAGGGTTAAGGATAAGTTTAAGGGTTAAGGATAGGAATTATGGTTAAGGATAGGTTTAAGGGTTAAGGATAGGAATTGGGGTTAGGGATAGATTTAAGGGTTAAGGATAGAAATTAGGGTTAAAGATAGGTTTAAGAGTTAAGGATAGGAATTGGGGTTAAGGATAGATTTAAGGGTTAAGGATAGAAATTAAGGTTTACAGATAGAAATAAGGGGTTAAATATGAAATTAACGGTTGGTTATAGCAGTACTCGCCAGTACTAGAGTAATTGAGTGTGGCGAACTACATTTTACTACTCTAGAACCATTTTTGGAAGAAAAAGGGAAAGGTTCCAGCTAGAACCAGTTTTTGATTAAACCTTAAATGACTCGAAAAATGGTACCCAAATCTAGAACGTTAAAAGGTTCAGTATGACACCTTTTTTCTGAGTAGCTAGCTACAGCTTTTTTCCATTTCGGAAACCTTTTTTTTGGGTTTCCGAATGAGTATTTGAGGTTTCGATGTGATGGACATTATGGGTTTCCGAGACCTCGGCAACCCTTCTTCGGAAACCCTCTAGGAGTTTTCTAGGATACCTATTTTTTGAGAGTGTAGGATTATCTTCATATAACAGGACATTAGGACCCAAGGGTATCTTCAAGTAATAGGAGATGAGGGCCTAATGGTATCTCAATATAATAGGAGATGAGCATCTAAGGGTATCTTCGCTTACGCTCATGAGCGTGAGCGGTACACCCCTAGTTACATTTTTTCGGTGTAAAAAGCTTAGATTCGTAGAGAACTCGAACTTTTGGGTAAAAAATATGTTTCTGGCTAAATTTGAGTGAATCACTATTGTATAAGGACCCCAATAATGAAGAATAGGGTATACAGAGTGGTTAGGACTATTTCAGGAATAAAATGATTTTGAGAGCTCTCATTGTGATATTCTTAACCAGCACCTCTCAATCTACCACTACATCTGATTTTGACTCGTGAAAAAAAAAATTTTTTTTTCATGATACCTGAGGGGTACCCCAGGCACAAAAATCGTCAATGTCGATTTTCTGGAAATAAAGTTGAAAAAAGTGATCAGAGACGTTCCCGCTTTCCACAAGTCAGAAACGCTCACGCTCATGAGCGCTCACATGAGCGTGAGCGCGACCGCTCATACCGCTCACGCTCATATGAGCGTTCATGAGCGTGAGCGGTACACCCCTAAATGTCAATTCATTTCAATGAATAGGTTGAACAAAGCATTAAAATGAATAGACAGCGATGAACTGACGACGCTAAATAAACTACAATGAATGATATACACTAGCTTTCATTGTATTCAATGCATTGTTGACTATTCAAAGATTAATTAGAATGCAATGACTTGATTGATCGTCAGCCTATGTAAGTGATCGGCATGCGACGTGCAACAGATTTAGTAGTGTATTGCATTATTTCATTATCTATAGCAAAAGATGATCAAAACAGAATGGATGTTTATATGATCAAATATTTGATCATATTTAGAATATTGAAATCGATGAAATATGTTAACCATTCCATCCAATAGGACCGTTTCGAATAGTCTTGGAACATTTATGGGGAGAAGAAATCGGCCTGCAGTATTGCCGAAATCGCGCAAGAAAATGATTCAGAATTATTCGAGACGATAATTCCAAGCTCTGAAACCAGATAGAAAACTTGTAGAAAATTTCTGTTTCTGACAGAGAACCTCCGAAAATCGATAGAAAATCGAAGCAGTACATCAAGTGGAGAGAGCGAAGGACTTTTTCGATGACTTCTGACCATCTTTGAGCGACAAAGACAGGATTTTAATGGGAAGACACAGAAAAAAAATCTGAGATCTCCAAGTCTCAAATACTGCTTTCAAGAAACTGTCGCAATTTCCTGAAGCTGACGGTTTCCTTTTCGTGTGGTCCGACATGGATGTTTCAACACTATGAAACAAGTGAAATGTGTGTCTAAATTTCTTCTCATTCTTGATATTAAGAATGTACTTCTAAACATTCGATTTTGAATCGATACTCGGCGGCTCGACTCGACTCGAGCCGAGTCAGATGTTTTTTAGATGCATGTCGACTCGAGCCGAGTCGATTGAATGGTTCAGTCGAGTCGAGTCGAGTCGAGTTGAATTTTTTTGACTCGTTTCGGTCTCTGGTCGACAATTCACATCTGATAGTGCCTGTTAATAGAATATGTTGTTTGCAAACATCATTGGGATACCACTGAATTCATGTTCTTTACTTTATGCTCATCATCAAGCTCTCTATGGCTACGATATCGAGAAAGCTCAGCTAATTGAAACAAATGGTGTTGTTCAAAATATTCTTTCTTTTTAAAATTCTGTACGTACGTATTTGGTTTTGATCGTCATCTGGGTTTTTTGCAGTGCTAGTGTGTTCATCGATGTCATTCTCTGTTTTTTCTCTCTCTTGAGCTTTCATCATCCGGTGATATCGAGTTTCTTCCTGTGCCATAAGTGTCTCGTGTACCTTGTTCAATGACACATCCCTTATCTAGCACATATATTTGATGTGCACTTTGAACTGCTGACAAACGATGACCAATTACAATAGTTGTTCGACCTATGAGTAACTGTGGATGGTAGGATTGGAATAGAACAATATGTGCAAACCTTTGCATGCTTGATTTAATGCGTCTTGAACAATCTTTTCATTGTTAATATCGAGGGCACTTGTTGCTTCGTCCAACAAAAGCAAGATAGGTTGTTTAATGAGAGCACGAGCCAAAGCCACACGTTGCTTTTCACCACCACTCAATTGAACGCCACGTTCACCGACAACTGTATCATATTTCTATGTTAAGGCCCACCCCCCACCCAAAAAAAGTTGATTTCTGTCAAATTTATCGATTTTATTTTTAATGCCGCATGTGATAGAGCATCACGTCCGCTATCGAATGCACTATAGTTTATTTTGTTTACGACGGTTTTTCATGGTTTTACAGAGGTTTTTCTTAAAACCTTTACCCATGAAAAAAGCCGTCTTTCGAATAATTCAATTTTTTTTGCGCATTTCAACTTGTAACGGTAAAATATATTTCTTTCTATTGTACAGAATGTTGTCTTGACTTTGATTCTATCATGTAGCGAGATATATATTTGTTTTTCGTTTACGTTCGTTCTCTATACTTTCATCGTGTTTGCTTTGATCCAAAAACAGAATTCGAAGTATACGAAAGAAAAAAGTAATACGAATCTTTTAAACAAATGAGCAGCAAAGATATTCATCAGAAAAAGAAAGGCAGAAGGTCTATTATGAGGCAAATCCGATCACAGCAAGTGAAAAGCAAGAGAATGGATTCATCATCATCGTCATCATCATCATCATCATCACCATTGGTAAATATAGATGAGGCGGATGACTTGAG